CTTGGCGAGCGCTGCGTCACTGCCCCAGGGCAGGCTCATCCCAGCTGAGCCCCGCACTGCTACCACGTCACCTCAGAGCTGGCATCCCTGCCCTCCAACAGAAGCCAGGAAAAAGGTCCTGCAGGACCCGTTCCTCCTGCGCTCTGTCACAAAATAAGTTTTCTAGCTCTATTAAACAGTTTCCATGTAACCTGGACAGGGTATTTCATGACTCGCTTGCCTCAGTTTCTCCTTCATAAAAAGGAAGACAGAAATACTTCTCATGCATTTGGGCTCTAAGCTCTTAGGTGCAAGCCACTGCCCTGAGCAAGGTTTCCCAGCAGGTATCCTAGTGGGAGATACGTTTCAGGGGGAGGCTGTTGTTCCCTTTTAAAATAAACCTGAAACTTGGGTACTGATATGCTATTCACATTTGCTATAGTATTCATTAAGTGGTTAGAAATAGCGTGGGACATCACTACTTACAAAATATGCAACCAACCTTCCTAATAATGTGCGTCACAAGGGGGACATATTTCAAACACTGCTTCTCAGGACCTTGGAAAGGAATTCAATTTCTGTTGCCCCAATGCAGCTCTCGAACTGTCCCAGCTGTAAGCATACTGGAATACGCTGGGATCATCACACAAACATATATTTATATTTCAGCTTAATAAAATGGCTTCGCGACACAGGCAGATGTAGGTGCTTGCTGTCATGTGTGTGTGCTCACAGGGGAAAAATCCCACCTGAGCTGGCTGGTACCTCTCACACAGCCCAGGGAGCCATTAGCAGCATCAGATTTCTGGGAATGTGCAGAATCCAGTCAGAGACACAGTAACATATAAAATGTATACGTGTCCACATACACACACAAGTGAGGGCATGTAAAAAACAATCCAAGAGTAAAGCTTTTCCCGCTGTAAGGGAAAGGAAATTCTTTTGCTTACTGCCATCAATGACTCTATGAATCCTGACCCCTATCATTGCAGCAGATCAAAGGCCACAGCTTTAATTCCTTAAGAAGTCCCAAATCAGAACAAAAAGTCAGATTTTTGTGAAGCAAACAGAAAGATCTGACTGTATCAAAGTAACTTTTTAGGATATAGTCCCAATGCTTCCTTTCAACTGCAGCCTTTATATCCCATGAAAGCACTTCAACCTTATCAAAATGAAACATGATGATGATTTTTCAAACATCTTGATCACAATCAGCTTGTTCCCACATTTTTTTTTTTCCAAGACCGACGAATCTCTTTTCCAACATGAAAGCTGCAGTGCTCTGTCAGTTGTCAAATGTTGTGTCACCCAAGTATACTAAAATAAAAAGCAAGTTCTCTTTCCTGCACTATTTCCCTTCCCTAATCAGCAACAGAAATAATCAAATTAGTGAACAAGGTCTGGCCTTGTTTAATAGCTCCATTATGTCCTTACCAGGGATAAAAAGAATTGAGGTAAAGTTTATACTAAAGGATTTGTAGGGAGACAAGACTCTTGGGATAGGAGAGATCCACAGATTTTGTCTAGGTGAGTGCTGGAGTTTGTGCTCTAGGAATTGCTGTCCTACCAGCCACTTACGGGGTTCACCTGGAATTCCCTGCGAGGCTGGTGGAGAAACCAACAGATTCATTACGGACAACCTGTGTTAATCACCAGACCTTCCTGGGACACTGTTTTGCTACTCTTTGTTCCAGGACGTGGCTTCCTCCTGTGTCTGAGAGCCACAGCCTCCTGACACAGCCTCCTGTGTCTGACACAGCCTCCTGTGTCAGATGTGCAGGCTGGAGAGCCACTGGCTTTGCCCAGAGAGGCGTGGGGTGAAGGGCACCTCTCTCTTCTGGCCAGGCACCCACAGGCTCCTTCAGGGGCCTGCTGCTTAACGGAGGGTCATTTTAGTTTTGTTGACGTCCTATTAGACCCTGAAATGACTGTCGTCCAGAGAACTCCCAGACTTTATGTGCAACGGAATACTGCACATTCCAATTCAAGGTGCAGGGAAGCAACCTTGGGTCTTGCAAGTTGCTTCTCATAAAACTTCTGAGCTCCACTAGATAAAAAAAAAAAAAAAAAAAAAAGGAAAAAAAAAGAAAAAAAAAAGAAAAAGAAAAATCTTGGAGATGGTGCTGCCTACATATGTCATAAACAGATGTAGAGTTGGATTTTGTCCATCTAGCATGAACATTTAGAACTCAGTAGAGGCAGGATATGCAAACAAAGAGGGAAACTTTGTGTATTCCCTCATATATTGACTTATAAAACTGAATCTGATGGGTCATAAAAATATTTAAAGACGTTTACATGAAAATTTCCCGTTGCTTGCAGCAGTAGCTGCAGCAGCAGCATATTCTCGCAGTAGACTGCGTAGATGAGAGCCGCCCGTTTCCATGGCCAGAGCGGAGCTGCCCCGTGCCAGAGGAGCTCGGCAGCTAGAGGCCGTGGCGAGGGGAGGCACCACGATCACCTCTCCCCGCGGCTCCCGCGCGGAGCAAACACCCTGGGCCGCTGCTCAGCAGAACGGGAGAGGGGGCCCTGCCAGGCCCCTCGGCACGGGCAGGGGAGCCCCTCCGCTGGGGCCGCCCCAGGGCCACGGACCCGCAGCTCCCCCATCCGCGCCCACGGGGCACCTCCCAATCCCCTGCGCACCGGCCGAGGTCCGGAAACCAGAGCTTCCTCTTGGGTTGGAAAACTCTGGGAAACAGAAAACCATCCCTAAATGCACCCCCCGCCCCATGCACATACACAACCCCAAATAAACCCTCTGCCACGCAGGTGCCAGCAACACCCCTATCACTAGCTATCATCCAGACAATTCCTGCAATTAATGAACTGGGAAAATTATGGGTGAAAGAAAAACGACTGTGTGAAAAAGACCTTGAAAGGCACCAAAGAGACAATGCGGCTTTTCTACGTTTTATTTCTCTTTTCCTCCCTTCCATCACTACAATTTTATGCATAATTGTTTGGTCAGTTTGTTCTTCCCTGAAACTTTTACCGAAATGGATTAGGTAAACCATACTCTGAAACAGATTGAAAATGGAAAATATGTAAATATATAGCACATAACTTATAAAATTGTATATATATGTGTGTGGGTGGGTGCTGGAATAAAAAAGCTACTGTTACTTGCTGGTAGAACAACATATCAACAACTGTTAGAGCTGACTTGAAGGTTAAATATTAGGAAGGAATCCAATTTCTCTTGTCTATTCAGCTCAGCGGTGTGTTAGATTGCGGCTGGAGTGTGCTTATGGAGTGTGGGATATGAAGTAGGCTAATCAATCCCTGCTGCTTCATTCTCAGGTTCTTCTTATATCAGGTCCCTGCCCTCAGGCAGCCTTCAGCTTTCCAAAAGCCAATTCCATACAAATAAAAATTGCGACCTGCAGCTAGAGGGTGAAGCTGAGTTTCCCCCTTGTGATTAATCTCTTCTTGGGTGGCTTTCACGGAAAAAAAAAATAAAAAAGAGAGAGTGAAAAGAAAAAAAATAAAAGAAAAAGAAAAACCATGCGTGCTGCAGCCCTGTGAAAGGCTTTTCCTATTGAATGAGCCCAGTGCTCGGGAGCCAGCTTATCAAATGAAAGAATTCATTTTTTTTTAACAGTGCCTCGTGTTGACATTGAGAAAATGAGCTATCAAACACTATGATTAAACTTCAGCTGCCATAATTGTCGTCCGAACAACTGCATGGTGGAACTGAAAAGCATTTTTTTAACCAGCTCTATATGGTTCACCAGTAATACTCAGTTTAAAAGGTTGTTGCTGCTAGCAAGAGAAACAAGGCTTGAAATTAACTTTTTCCAATCCATAGACAATATTAAACATACGTATTTGAGTCACACAAACAACAGGTAAATCAGATGCGCTTTAAATTTCATTTTAGTCATTTCAGATACCAAGGAGTAGCTCCAGGGTATTAAAATATCAGAGTATTTTTTTTATTTCCCACATTTGACTAGATGGATCCTGCCTATTATTTTTAGGGAGAGAGACAGACAGAGAGACACAGAGGCAGAGGGTGAAGTGCAAGGAAGGGTGACATGAATACTGCGTTTGGTGCAAACAGGCTGGAGGAAGGAAAATCTACAGATTTGTGGAGTATTTTCACTGCAGCTGAAATTAGATATTTGATATGAGCAGAGGACGATCTAAAAGGCAATTGCCATATTGCATGCAATTATTGCTCAGGCTCCTTTATGGCCTAGACGAGCGCAGTCATTCAGATGACGCTTGCAGAGATACTAAGTATTTTATATTAATTCTCAGCAACCATTTTACTGATTTTCTCAAGAGACTGCAGCTCAGCAGAGGGGCTGGAGGAGTCCTTCAGGAAAGGTGGTTGGAGGCACACAGTCTCGGGAGCCCATACCCCCAATGACAGCAGCCCTCTGGCCAAATGTAACGCTTGGGGAAACGAGCTGCTGCACAATTAAATCTGCTCAAAAGTTATTTAAGGAATTCAAATGCCACAGGCCAGATGACAGCGCACTGAACATGAAAAAAATAATAATGCAGAGGAATAAGGGAGGGCCAAGGTTGGAGGATATAAAACAATTTCCTTGCCCCCTTCCCAGGCTCCGTCCCGAGCGCCGCGCAAGCGGCAGGCAGGCCAGGCCGCGGTGCAGAGCAGGAGGCTCGTGAAGCTGGTTCCCTCCCCTGGCCCGCGCCCTGCCCTGGCGCCGGGCAAAGGGCTTCCCGGGCACTCGTGCCCAGGCAGGCGCTGCCCGCGGCCGCCGCTAGGCGTCTGTGCACAGGCCCCGTGCGCTCGGCCCCCGAGCGCCAGCCCTTCCCGACTGCCTTTCCGGAGCAGCAGCCCAGCAGAGCCCTGAATCCAAATGCTTCTCTTTTCCCTTTGCTTCCACCTTGCTCTACCTACTCACGCAGGTGTTTTTGCAAAGTCAATTGCATAATCTGATCATCTTTGTTTCCTGAACATATGGAGATAACATTTTGAAATAACAATAACATTTTCATCATTTTTAGAGTCTCTCACAGTCAGAGCTTTACTTTATCACCTTCCAAGAGTAAAGCTCTTAATGTCTAGTGATCACGCTCAGGGATTGAGGCTATTTCTTATGAACAGATTCCATGATTTCTGAACTAAGAGTCCCTGTGTGAGAGCTTCACAGCTCAGTGCATTTTCCAGGTGTCCTGAGCCAAGGCCTGACCAGGATTAGGCCACCAAACCAGGACCAAAGGAGCCCGGGGGCTGCCGAGGCCTCCGTGGAGCGGAGCAGTCGGGCAGGGGGAGCTGCAGGGGCACCCGGTCCGGCCACGAGCGCAGCACAGAGCTGCAGAGAGCGACAGCGTCCAGGAAGCAAGCTCGGCAACAGACACTGGATGCTCCTGATGGAAAACAGCACCACTCCGCAAGTCTAGGGAAGGGTATCTGCTCAATGAAAAATACACAGTGCTTGCACATGTACAGCTACGAGCACTGTGAAGTTACTTAATGCTGTGACTTCCATCACTGTCAACGGCTTATTTAATAATTTAATTATAGGACTGATCCCACCTGCTGGACTGCACACAGTAGCTTATTCTTGCGGGGTTGCTTATGCATGCTGGGCTGCATTCACAGGTCTGCTATTTGTAGGGTCACTCAGACATGCTGGCTGCTTCAGGATTTTTTCCAAGCGTCCTGAGCTGCTGGAAATTATTCATTTATCAGAAGCAACAGCAAAAGTATTTGTGTGCGAAGCAGAGATATGAAAAAGGTACTCTAAGTCAAATTTTGGGCCAAGCTTCAAAGGCGCTGGGCAACATATTATACATTTATCATGAGCTTTGCAATATGAGGATGGCAAAGTTATAATCAATTAAGAAAACAGAGTCTGACATTGCAATACTCTTAGCTTAAGGAAACCAAATAAAATATCACAGCTTGTTCAAAAAGCCTATTGTGAAATCTCAGTATAAATACAAAGGCATAAACACACATTCAGCTGGCTTTTGGGTGAAGTATGAGACACGTTTGCTGCTGTGCAGAAGGCTAAATCAGCTTTTGAGATGAGTCTTTCATAAAAGACCTTGGGATTCTCCCTGTTCTTTGTCTCTTACACTCAAGATGTTTTGATTTAAAGAATCCAGCCTTACTCTTCCTGTCATAAACCCAACATTTTTGTGAAGGGATGAGCCTAATACAGTCACCTTTAGAGAAGGACACAATTTGGATCTCATGTACAGGAAGCTTTACTGAGCACCACTGCAAATGGACCCTAGACTTTATCAGAACCATAGGGAGTTACCAAGGGGATACCCCTGCATCCGGGTGCCTGAGCACCTCCGCAGGCGCCGCTGCAGCTTCCCCCTCCTTTCGCACAATGCCCAAGGAAGGAACTGCTCATTTCTGCTCTCCTCACATCGCATCTCCCCAACACCAACAGCTTGTGAGAAGAAAAAGCATTAGCACAAGAGCCTCTAGGCCAGCCGCAAGCCACCAGGTCCTCTGCAGCACAGCGGCTGCTTCATGGCTTCTGGCTTCCCTGCTTTTTCTTTGCGACTTAGCCAGCCCCAGACAGCACCTCAAGGTTACATTGCAGTATCTCTGCTTTTAAACTGGCCTGTTCATCCACTCGTGATTCTTCTCCCACTGTGTCCAAGCTTTGGTTAAATTCATATTTTATAATAAAACGCCATAGCTCATCACACGATGGTTGCATGAGGATATTTGTGATCTACAGCACAGCCCCTGAGCCTGCCCACATAACACTGTGTGAGAAAGGCAAATGGGAACTGTGTGCCAGGTAACTTCACAACAGGAAAGGAAAAACAATTTGCAGAATAAAAATATAACAGACAAGACAAAAACTTGCTAACCTCAAAATATTACCTACTTCCCTGGAATGGGTCGTTAAGGGCAGAGGATGCCTCCACATCCTCACACTGAGGTGTGACCATCTTCCTAGCCGTATCTTCACCCTTCCCTGCAAATGCGTTTGCCCTCTTGCCTACAGACAAGTCCCTGTGTTCATTAAGTGCTGCATTTCCTTTGCTGTGTTGCTCCGCTCCCGTCCCCTGCCTGCCAGGCACGGCGAGCTCCTCTGTCCAGCCTTGGACCTCCTGCCCTGGTATTAGAGGCTTCACACCACACATTGCACAATCCCTTTCACAAATTTACCTCCTTCTCACTGGGAAACGTGTCACACACTATGGCTGCTACTACCAAATAATAACAAGCAAATCCAAGGAGTATTTTGCCTTCCTAAGGGAGGAACACCACGGAAGTTAAACTCCCCTCAGTTAAATGGTGATTAAAACACAGAGCAGCTTCCGTCAGTTTCTTCCCCCAAGCGACTCACGCCATCAATTCATTTCTGAACCCTCTGCCTTTCACCATTTCACTTTCATACTGCTTAGTCCCACTTCCACAGAAGAGCTCTTCACTCCGAACAATGATGCCACGAGAAGGGACTACGCTCATTTCCCACCAAGCTCTGACTGGTGCTTATGGTGATGTTTCTACCGTAATACCAGGTAAAACCCAGCTCAGGATTACCAAGAAAAGGGAGAACCAGCACTTACCTTGTCTTCTATCAGTTTCAGAGAAGATGAAGTAGGTTAAGCTGCTGTTCCAGCAAGAAAGTCCAAAGGCATCTGTGAAGTATCTGAAATAAAATGGATGGAAATTGCTCAGAAAGCAGGTTCCCGTTGCTTGTTAGCATCAAGAACTGCTTGAGCTCCAAAGGCTGGGCACAGAGCGAGTAACCAAGGGCTACATCCTCCTACAGAAGACACAGTGATGGAGACGCTCAGAGCTGAACATACAACTGATTCAGGGATATTTTGCTCTCGGAGTCTGGGACACAGATTGTCATTACAAACTGTCCTTCCCACCTTACTCAACAGTCACCAACACAAGGTGAGTTGTCCTTTCTCTCTTCACTGGCCAAACAACTGAAACGGACAGAGCAGAGTCCTAAAGACCCAAGTCTAAGCCCTCTGCTAGTGCCTGCAATTGCAGCTATACTGCTTTTCACAGAATACCCCCAATTTACATAAGCTGTTGGCCCCACGAGCAAGAAAAGCAACTCAACCACCTTTTTATTTTGCACTAGACTATCAACACTGTAAATGAACATTGTTCCACTGCTACAAAGTTTCAGGCAGATTTGGAGACAAAGAGGCAGGTCCTGTCACTTTTCATCCAGTGGGATGTGTTTATATCCACCAGAGATGCGCTGATTTGTTTTAAACATGTGCGAAGCTTTCTTGGAAATAATTCTCTTTGACTTTGGGCCTCTCAAGAAAAGAAGTATAAGAACCTCAAAAGATAAAACAAAACAGAACGGTTGAAGGAAAAGTGATTTAATTTAATGATAGTAGAGATGGACATAATGATAAAAGAAAACTTCAAAAAGGCTTGAGTGGAATTTAAGATAAATACATTAATTAAGATATAGTTAACACAGTAATCTAAAATTTCCTGAAGACTTAATGAGTTTGGAGCCACTAAAGCTGCACTAAGCACAGGAGACATAATCAGCATCAGAACTGACACACCGCTCAAAATCATTTCAATTATCCCTCGCACTCTCTGTGCCCAGAAAGCCAGTAAACAGGCCAAGGGGCTACAGGAAGCATGGGCAGGCAAGAGCAGCCCACAAAGGCTGGGCCATACAGTACCCTGCAACAAGAGCCTGACCTCTGCAAGCGAAATACAGGCCTTGTAAGGTCCAGTGGAATGGACCAGAATGGCCTTTCCAACTTCAACATATAAAGGTCGAGGGGAGCTCACATTTGGCTGTGGGTTCATCAGCACAGAGCACATCCCAACCCTTTCTTTATTCATTCGCATTTTAAAAAAGCCTCTCAAATCTCTCTGGCACAGCATAAATATTCAGTCCCCGCAGCTGGATTTTCAGCTGGTGTAAGAGCAAGAGGACGGCGCTGTCAGCGGAGGCCTCAGCCAATTTAAAACACGTCAGAAGGTGGCCATCCTGGTGACCTTCTCCCGCAGCACAGAGACGGCAGGTTAGAAGCTTTTCCTGGAGCACGATGCTTCCAACGGCTAAGACCTGTCCAACTCGGCCCTGGAAGTGCCCTGGGCTTCCTGCGAGAGGCAGGGCAGCGGTGACGCCACGGAGCGAGCGCCCGCGGCAGCACCCACCTTTCAGGAGCAGACACTTACAGGTGCCTCAGGATTCCAGCAGCTGTTTTCAGACAGGAAAGAGCATTCCTGCTTCCTTATAAATTGCTTTGAAAGGGGAAGAAGATTAAAAAAAGTGAAAGGGACACCAACAGAATGACGTTGCCCCGTTGGCATCACCAGGCTGGAGCCAGTGGCCTAGGAGAGGACTAGGCATCCAGAGTGCAGCACTGGTTTGTCCCAGTGCTGGGACGGGGACTATCTTAACGAAACACCTATCCCCAGCTACTGAACTCAAGTATGCTTTCTGAGGGCAAGCATGACTCAAAACTGACCCTATTCAATGACTACGACAAATCACGAATTGTCTGTCCTACTGCCTGGCCTGAATCCTGATATTTTACATCCTAGGTTCTCAGTCATCTAACATCTTTTACAGTATTCTAGATTTTTTTTAAAAAAGGATAGAGAAATCATCTGAAGAAATAAAATACCACTGAATTTCTGGCGTCCTAGATAGCTGTTATTTCCTGAAGTACATGGTATATAGGAGTTTTTCTTCTTTTTCCATAGGGATCCCTACTACAGTATTCAACAATTTTCAGGGACTCCCAGGAAAAGAAGAAAGAAAGAAAAAAAAGACACAGGCCACCCCAGGCAGCACTGTTTTTCATATGGCATTTCCCAGTCCTTGTCTACTTTCACTTTTGTCCCTCAGCATGTGGGACAATCGACACAAAACAGTCACTATTTCTCCATATTGACAGTCAATCCCAAGGAACAGAATTTCTTTTTTATTTGTTTGTAATATGCTTATCCTTAAATGAACATTTTAGACACAGATTCCAAATTATGCATTCATTGGAAAGATTAACTCTGATTAACAAATTCATGCTAAACAACTGTGTTTAATTGGATTTCTGTAAGTAGCTAAATGTGAATGCTTCACTTGGTTCTTATACGTGCAAGACAAAAAAATGTAATTTTAAAATATTTAATGGGGAGCAAACTCTGTGCTGCTGACCTATCTTCCCTGGCGATGTAGTCTTCTTCCCTGCATTCCAAGTTCCCATAATCTAGTCCTAATAATGGTTAAAGTTATCTGTCTAATCAAACTAATTAGCACTGGTGAACGGAGACATAATCATAATAGAAAGCAAATGCCAGTTTTACAAAATGAAAACGCCATATGTGCAGTAATTAGTGAACCACAGGCACTTTTTATAAATCATATTTATTAGTTCGTAAACAAATCAAATCCTAAATGAAATGAAAGTTACCATTAACAAACACCAATGAATAAACAGCTCCACCGACTAGCCCTGCTGGGCACATTGTGCAGGATGCTGTGGGTAATGTCAGCCGCCCACCCAGCCCCGTTTCTGAAAGGTCCCTTCGAGGTGTTCAGGGTTTTTAACTGAGCACTCCTCTGCCATCTCCAAGTCACAGCATGGATGTATTTGCTGATCTAGGGAAGCTGCAGTTTGCTTATATGGGCTGAGCTTGTCTGGCGACCAGATGGTCATAAATTAGGATATTCAGGTTACGTCCACGATGAAAAATGCAGTACTAATAAGTACTCAAATAGTGTCCTACAGCAGGCCGGGTTTCACCTGAAACTTAACATGGATTTTGTCACCTCACATAAATGATGATATACTAGGAAATACATTTAATGGCAAAATCCCCCAGAAAATTGCCAAACTGCAGAAACTTCTGCTTGGCTTTAAAACCCAAATCTTCCTCCTTTACTGATGGTGCCCAGGTCATTCCTTAAAGGCAATTATAAAAGAAGACAAAAAAAAAAAAAAAAAGGATTTGTAATGAGAATATTTCTGTAGGTTATAAATTCTCCTAAAAATTTAGCTTAAAGGAGTTTCAATTACACGTTGATCACTTCTCACTGAGCAGCTCAGCACCTCTTTGATAAACCTGGCCACCAGAGGCACACTTCCAGCTGGCCTCATACTTAGCTTAAAAGGACATGCTTTGCACCTCAGACACACAGCTAAATATGGGATATCAGGGGCTCAAGCTGAAGAATCTGCCTCAACATACACCAAGGAACTTAGCTAAAATTACAAAGGTGTGTAATAAATGGCACGCATCACTACATATTCGATCACAATTATCAATATGAAATATTGGCAGCAGAAAAATGATCAACAGCAATATTTTTGGAGGTGCAGAACCTCAAGCTGTTAAAATATTAATGTAAAGAAGAGGTCTCAGCTTACATAAGTGCTCTTGGATTCAATATATTCGGGCTATTTCCAAGTTTCTGGGCAGGGACCAGGTTTCCATTCTACAGTTTGCCTGAAGCACTGCAGAAATTTGGCCCTTTGAACCTTATTGCTCTCACAAAATGAAGCCTTCCACTTTTGCAGCTTCTGAAGACCGCACTGCAAATGAGCATTACGTTCTGGCTAGGTGAGTGGTCTTACATTACGAAGCAGAGCTGCTGCGCCTTGGATCTCAAAGCTGGCACCTAAAACCAGATCTGCGGCTGACAACCGATGGGCTGCACGGGTCTGTACTAGGAGGTGATGGCTCGGCATGCACTCAGACCCCTACCTTTGAGGATGAGAATACTACAGGAGTTTGGGAAACAGAAGCACAAACCAACTTTTCTTTAAGTAGTAAGTCATCCTATTCCCTTTGGGCTTCATTCTGGAAACATTAATTAGAGTGTGTATTTAATGCGACTCTCCTGTAGTAAGTACATGACTAGCTCAAACTAATCTCACCCCGCCCCAGCAATTCCAATGTATGCTGCAACAATGTCTCAGACATTAACAGTGAATTAATTATAATTGTGCAGTGGCGCCTGGCCACTCTGCTTTCTGTCTAGTTTATCTTTATTTTAGACTAACGAAAACAACAATGAAAGAACAAACATGCTATTAAATCTGTGCAAGAGATAGAAAGCAGAGCGTCCCCACTCTGGTTCCCGGCTCGGCTGTGCCCCCCACATGGGCAGGGGAAGGTTCTTTTGACATATAAAAGTGCAGTGCAGACAAAACAGACCCCAAGCTGCAAGCACACTGTGCATTTAAATCTGAGCTCATTCTTGTTTGTTTATTTTTCTGTACTTGGTGGGATTGGGCAGTAAGCTTAGGCATTGCAGTACAGAAACAAAGGCTTGTTTCCTTGTATATTTGGCCTGGCCAAGACTGAGAGGTAAGAGCAGTGTAACGAGAAAAGGCCTGAAAAACCCTCTTTAGGGTTTTGTACCCCAAATAGTTGAAATGAACCCACGCAACCATATAAATACCCATGGATTTTTCAAAATAGAGCATTACCAACCAAAAATGACCCTACATAGCAAGTCAAATTTGACAAAAAACATGAAAGGGCCTTTAAATTATTATATATACATCCAAAATGACAACAACCCAAGATTTATCTCCCTTTGCTTTCTGATTTCTGAGCTCCTTGGCACTTTCATTTACACGTTCAAACAGAGACCCTCAGGAAATCTCACCTCCGAGCCCTGGAGCTGCATGACCTTCCCCGACGAGCTGAACTCATGAGCAGTTCAGAGCCACAAGCTCCCAGCTCCGGGGCAGCTCCTGCAGCCCCAGGGATGCGGGGTGAGACAGCTCAGAGGGCCTCACCACTCTGAGCCCCCTCGAGGTGCCGTCCCTCACGCTCGCTGCTCTGTGGGCCCAGCTGAGCTGGGAGGGCACGCTTTGGAAAGCCTTGTTCTCCATTTAACGGCTGTGTTGAACCTACTAGTCATGGAGCAGAGCGGCAGCAGGAGGCAGGACGCTTAAAACACCGGAGAAGCAGAGGTGGAGGAGCCTCTCAGTGGAGAAGGCCAGGAAGACACATCAGACCGTCACACAAATACTCACAGCTTCTGTCCAGCCCAGCACCTCCACAAGCACGGGCCCGTCCCCCAGTACCCCCAGCAGGACCAGCACTCAGTCCTGCCGGAGACCACAAGGGAAGCTGTCACCAGGAACACTGTCAGCAGGACCAGGAGACAGAGCTACCTCAGCAAGAGCCCACTCGGCAACTGCAAGAGGCCCCAGGAGGCCCGTACTGATTTAAATGGCCCCACCTGCTTAAGTGGCCAGCTGAAAGGCCCTGCGGCCACGTGGGGCTAAGGCCGGCAGGCAGCAGAGCTCTAGGCCCAGCTCTGTAGCAGCGAGGCAGGACATGAACTTGTCCCCTTTTTCTACAGGGGCCATTTTGTGTTCTCAGCTGGCCAGATTTGAAGCTACCCAGGATAAATGACAGCATAGTTTAAATAATTATAGCCCATTGCTAAACATCATTACTGTAGGACACGAACCAAAAAGATTAGTTCGTACTAAACATTGCTCTAAAAAGGATATTGTTTTCCCCTCCTGGTTTGGGTTCCTTACAGCAAACTTTCCCTTCACAATTATTCCCTCGGTTGCTGTAAGAGTGCCAATATAATTTAGCATTTGGTGCTGGTAGGCAGAGGCTGGCGAAAACCTGACTTAAGCAACTTCTGCTGCAGATTGGAGTTTCGGCTTACTGCACGGAAAGCAGTTTTCTGTGCAAAAACTATTAAAGTATATGAAGAGTAATTAAAAGCATCAATTAAGAATGTGAAATACAAATAATTTTATATTAGCCAGAAAACTTATTCTGACATCCTAAAATGGGCACTTAAAAGAAATGGAGATGTAGGCTGCCACTTACGCAGTGCACTCTCAAATACTGCCAAGGGGTGTCTAAATGTACCATTTTATGTGGTATTTATATATAGGGAAATAATTTATTTTTACTATTTAAATTGCAGTCTAACACACTCTATGTTCAGCTGTATAATACAGCAGGCAATTCCACTGCTGTGCTGGCAGCTAAGCTTCATTCTGCAACCAAGCCTGGGCTGGTGTGTGCAGAGAACATAACCAGACCTATCCTGCTCTCCAGCTTTCCTGTGCCAAAAAAACGGACAGCGCTCTCCACCGCTCCCACACTCCACACTGTCCCATTTTGCTGAAAACATTCATTTTCACTATGAAAGAGGAACCATTTAAAGGATATTACATGTTAAAAATGAGCATGAGAATTATGAATGTATTTTTTGGTTCTGTGGCAGCGATTTCGTGTTCTGAACCTGGTTGGGTAGCTTTTCCTTTGGAGAGTGGTGCAGAAGGCTGGGCTCGCTGCTTCTGCTTCTGCCTGTCCCTGGCAGGATACAACAAAGCAGACAGGTACCGACCACCTCACACTCACTCGTTCAAAAGGTTTCGAATGCCAGTTTTAATGGCAAATGACAGTCAGAATGGATGTTGGGCAAGCAAACCTTGCTGCTGCTGCTTGAGACCTTGCTTCTGTTGGTGTCCAAAGTCTGATGCTGCTCATTCAGACTTCCCCGCTTATCACCAGACTGCTAGCACTGATGCAGCCCTGGCAGAGGGATGCACACAAGAAACCTTTGGATCTCTCCATACCGAAATGAGGATAATCATGAGTCTCAGCTCACTTATATTTTTAAGCAAGATACGGTGGTGAATCTCCCACCTGGAAGAGTAATGTGTTAACCTACTGCACCACCTAATCCCTAAGAGTCTCATTTTGATTGTACGAAAATAATTTAGGGCCCTAACAGTTTAAAACTGTCTTCTCTGGTGCCTAAGTGCTTCATTTTAATAGATATTAGCTGTTAAAGATACTCATTTTAACAATGACATTTACAGCTTTAACCAGTCTATCATAGAGCACAAGTGCGTCACTTAGCAGGATAGCACTGTTTAAAAAATAATCTACCTGCTTTAATGCATATTGGAGTGTATTAGTTGATATTGAATTGGGTCATTTTAACCCTTTGACTTTTTTTTCAGAAGCATGACCACATTTCAGGTCCGTTTAGTTCAGCATTGAACTGACTGTTACACAATAATAATATTCACATTTACTTCATTCCTTCCATTTAAATTGCTTTCAATTAATTAAGTCTCAGAACATCACCGCAAGGAATGTAAGGACTACCCCTGCGCTGTCTGGGATGGCAGGCCTGCTCTGTTCAAGATCCATGGAGTATCTCTGGTTGACTGAAGCATGCCGAAGAACTAGGCTTCTTTCTTTCAAGGAAAAGACTCCCATCAAGGAGAAAGGAACTGAGTTGCGGCCCGGGTGACTTAGCCAAGGCCACCCACAAACACACACCTTCCGAGGAGCCTGGATTTTCAGATTCCTGGATATCTATGAACATGACCCTACCCTTCTGTTGAAACAACATCATGAGACAGCAAAAGACACAAAAGAAGGCAATGGACTGTATAAATAAGCCCTGCAAATCTAAGAGACTGTTTTTACCTTTTTTTGCTGAGGACATAAAAAACTGCCCTGATAGATCAAATCCAATTAATAAATCCCATTAACACAGTATCTTCTCTCTCGGTGGCCAGATCTTGGGAGAGCCTGCAAGAATTTTGCTCAGCATCTCAGGTGCTCAAATCCAACAACTTAATCACCTTCCTAAGCCAGATCTTGCATCCAGACCAAGTACTTTCCCTGGAGCAACCATGATATTCAAATTCTACTGCACTATTTAAGACTTGCGAGATAGATAACAGCCTACATGGGGGGATTCTCTGGAGATGTAAATATTGATAAAGGTATCTGATTCTTTTTTTTTAGTTCTCAGACACCATGTCTGTACTACCCTATGAGGGATGCTGCAGAAACAGTGATTTAAATGTAACTGTGTGAAGGCAGCTAGGTTTATATTTAAAATTGGTCTTCCATTTGTTTGTCTAGCACATCCTAGTTCCTTCAGAGGTTATCATGCTCTTGCAGGAGAGCAACAGAAAGTAAGCAAGACCACAGAGCACATCAGATATAATATTGCTTAGTAACTAGAGGTTAATAAAGCCATTTTACAGATAGAGAATTAAAAAGAGATTAAAAAGTCATCTTCTTATCCTGAAAATGATGTAACACTGTGTGCAAAATTCAAGGTTTGACACAAGGGTACAACAACACATGAAAAGGTAATTTGTCAGTCCCAGTTCAGGAAAGAGCTTCTTGTTATAGGAGAACATGTTTCATTTTATCACTTGCTGAAATGTCTCTGCTTTTCTGAATAGCAATGGATTTAAATATGTCTGATGTACTCTCCTGAATGAGAAGTCCTAACGCCAATTAAGTTCAATCCGCTGGGTCTAAGACTACTTACCTGAAAAAAGACACTGATACATTTGCATATAATAAAGGATACTTGGAACATCTGCAGAATAAAATGTTGGCCTTCTGATAGGATGCAATTAAGAGCAAGGAACACAAGGATATTTTTTCCTTCAATGGACCATGCAAAACTAAGCAGGATATGAGCTCAGATTTCTGCCAGAAGGCTAAGCACAGCCCAAGCCAATGCATCCATCAGTATCCCTAGGGTTCTGGTAAACTTTGAGGGCTCTGTAGGAGGTGCTGGCCAGCCACGGGTGGAACTCGACTGCACAGGTGGTTTTCTACTATAGGGCCCTGAAGAGGGGCTCATAGGAGCTGCCATCCCCTCTGTGAACACAAAGAAATTGTTGAGATGGACATTTAGGCCAGCAGCAAAAAGAAAAACAGTAATTTTGAAAGCTAAAAAAAAATCTTTTTCTGATTTTTAAGAGGTAATTACTTGGCATTTCTTAGTGCCTGTGAACTAAAACTCAAGGCCCTTACTCAGCTTCACTACAAAAAATCCAAAACAAAACAAAACCCTCAACACCTAGATACTAGGCAGGTTTTCTACCTCTGATCCTGGGTAGATTTCTGAATGCATAAGAGAAACTGCTTTTACTAGTTTGTAAGAACTTTTCCCCGAAATCCTAGAACTGCATCATTCATTTAGAGAGAGATACATTACTTTGCAAATGATAAAGCACACTGACTACTCACCAAGACCTAATTTCATAGCTTTTTTTTGTAGATATACTTTGAGAGTATGTAGATGTAGATATACTTTGAGTTTATGTAATTAACTATGAGCTAAAGAAAATGCAAATATGGAAAAATAAAACACTATATTTATATGTTGCCATAGAGCTGTGTGTGTATGTACACTTCTAATATGTTGTGCATGAAGCTCTAAATAACAGAGTATTTTTAGATAAGCGAGTATAGGTTTGTTAGCAGGAGTCGACAACAGCTCACAGGTATATATATATATATGTAGGTATATATACCTATATATGTATATATACCTATATATGTATATATACACATATATATGTTTTCTTATCCAACAACACAAACAAAAATAAACCATGTCATTCACCCCTAAAATATGACTTGTTCAGTGCCATGACCTCCTCTCAGGGAGCTCTTGCACAGGATGCAACACCACCTGATACAGTTAGCTATATTAATGCATCTCAGTGTCGTGAGGGCCAGTTTCCAGCAAAACACTCCACGCTTTCCAAGCTCCCTGGAAGTGAGGCTGCAACTTCCATGCCCAGCTCTTCCGCTGGTGAATCTCCTCATTCTGTACCTGACTTTCAGGTGGCAGAATGTGGCATGTGTGAACCTGGCCCTCAGAATTCAAATTACATTACGACACTGAGGTTGCTAATGTGGTCGCTGCTGTAGAGCTCATATCCGATTAGCTCAAAGAACAGATGTGCTGCTCCTAAAATTTGCATTACCCATTTCCACCTGTGAGAATAATACCATCAACTCTCCAGCTCTTCATGGAGATGTGGGTTTGAACTCCAGACCCAAATGTTTTTTTACAAGCAACAAATTTAACAAATCAGTAGTGCACTTTGCAAAACTGCAACCAAACTGGAGCTAGAGGAAAACATCTGCCTCCGATGTGTGCCACTGATGCTTGATGTCAGTTTGCATCAGTCAAGCTTGCAGTTTAACTCTGTTTCAGGGTGTTTTTTACATATATCCAAAGGTTTGTCATTTCTCTGTGG